CATTACAAGGAATACATTAAAACACTGTAACATTTATTAGACATCTTTTCTTGCAAAGTTCGTCAGCCAAACAAAAGATCCTTTTATTATCATTAATTCTTTTTATGGAAGATTTTAACAACGGATAGTTCCCTTTGTTTATCAAACAATCTAAATTGCATAGAGAGGAGCCAGATATCTCCCCCAGGAAACAATTCCTTTCTAGGAGGATGAAGCAATGATGAGATTTTTTTTTCTACTTTTTTTTTTCTTCTTAACAATTATCCAAATTGTCGAGGATAGTGAGCATCATTATATCTGTATGGGAAGTAGTAAAAGTGTAATAGTAAACTAGATTAGATCCCTGAAGGATTGTACTCAGCAAAATTATTCTAGTCAAGGGAAAACTTAGACTGCATGGGTATATAAAGTAGAATAGACTCGATTTCCTCTCTGCGACTCTGAAAAGAAAGTGGAAGACGAACATTAGCTAATGCAGCTCTGTACACATTGCTCCCTTGGTAGCAAGTTGATTTGTTATTGCCCGGATAGATTTTCCCTGGTTAGTTAAAGGTCCGTTCATTTCCAGTGCTGCTAAAGCATGAGATCTCAGATGATTTGCATAAAGCAGTTGTGCTCATGTGCAATATTTGATGGCTGCCAACTGATCTGTTAAAGAGGACATTTTGTGTGAAAAGGCCATTTAACCAAATGTACATCCAACCAAACTATAATTATTATTATATGCATCTGTTTTCAAAATGAAGCTGTAAAACTACTATAATTGCAGAAATGGTACAACATGCATGATTAATAACTATCTGCAAATACATTTTCTAGATATGGACTGCGATCAGTAAACTATCTAAGGATGACACTTTGTCATTGGTAACACTGGGGCCATTCATTACAAGCCTCAGAAACTTGCTCACACTGCTCACAACAAACACATTCTTCCTTTCTTGCATTAAGCAGAACTACAAAAAGAAACTCTTATGGCTTTGCAGCATGATGTAACTTACTGGCAAGAATACTCTTCAACTGACCTCAGAATGACAGCGATGGTTAGAAATTCAAGGCCAGTATAAAAAATGGTTGTCCTGTCATAGTACTGCTTACTTTATCTACCCCAGGTGGCTGAGCTGCTTTTCACATCTTTTTGCATGCATCAATAAAATGGAGAGGACAAACTTCAAAATTCATTGTATATACGCAAGTTGATATATTTTTTTTAAAGCAGAAATGCCATAAGATAAGAGGATACTTAGACACTATCTATCATACCTACCAACATGTATGTTTAATAAATATGGTACATACTAAGTTGCTAGCACAAATGTGTTATAAAGGAAATTGTAGAGTTAATATATACCACAAACACAGAGATTTAAAGCTAAACTGAACTCTAGAAGATGTGCACAAAAAAGGCAGACGGAGGTCAAAGAACCATTTACTATAATTGTCTGTGGTCCCCTGAAGCTGATTCTTCTAATCAAGACTGGTCTCTCTTGTACATGGACAAATTTGGTCCTGGCCATTATAGTCTGTCTCCACTCTTCATTGAAAATATGAAAGAATATCAGCCACACTCCACTTAGCACTCCTTAAAGTATTTTTTTTTAAATAAGCAATAAATTGACTACATACAGCAATGTCTCTATCCAAAAACCAACCTTCCTTGATGCGTTTCACCACTCCTGGCTTGCTTACAAAGATAGGGGAAAATACTTTACGAGGAGCAAAGCGGAATGCATCTGATATTATTTTATTGTTTCAGTGCCTTAGATCTCACACTGTTATGAGGTCACATACCGGGAGTACCTGGGAACCATGACATACCAGTAAGTATCCTGCTATTTTTTAGAAGGTTCTTTTGGACAAAAGCTAAATTTTTCAGGGTACTCCTTTGGAATAATTAAAATGTCTAGATGTATCTTATAGCATAGCATCTCTACACTTTTTATGTTTCAGACAACCTAAAATAAAACCTATGCTTTGTCTATTCAGGGCAAAGCAACAGGTTTGTTTTAACCCCCTATTCCCAGAAGCATGTAGTTACCTTTACTTTACTCTCCTGCCACTCTGCTCAGTGCCTGGAGTCAAAACAAATACCTGGTACCTGATATGAAGGAACATGTGATTTGTCCATGTGACAGTGTTGGGTCTATCAGCATTACAAAGGAAATCATACCTGTGTAAGCTATAACTCCAGTTATTTCGGTATTACCGGACTTCCCTTCATTCCCAACAGATGAACAGAGAGGCATGGGAGCAAAAAAGAAGGTAAGAATATGCTGATGGTAAAACGAGAAACATTTTGAAATAATAGGATAATCAAGACAGCCAGCCAGCTAGAATTATCCATAAGTAGTTTGGAATGGCAACCTATGCATTTACTTAATTTTATATTTTATTTTAACACCTACTATACTTCATCACCTTTTCCAGCCTCAATGACTACTTTATAAAAACAATCATGGCCTACAAGGAGATCAGTGATTTTCTGACAAGGCATTTATGTAGATAGTGAAGTTGAATGAGAATGTTTCAGAAGCACTGAAGCAGAGCATAGGCTGCAGACAAATTGTGGAGGAAATATGCCTCTGTAAAATGTTTTAACCAGCACTTAACTGAAATCTGAATAAATGCTATGACATATTTCATTTTTTCACATATTTGTTTGTCATGGAACAAATATATTAATTATATTGATAAAATATGTTGTTTACCATTTGCAGACCTGGATCAGCAATATGTGAGTTATAACATTATCCAGAAGAGCTGGTCTGACTGACTAACATATATCATAATGGATTCCCCAAATCAAACAGGCAGGCAACTGTTGGAACTTTCAGAGCTCTAATAATGGATAGTCTTTCCACCGAGCAGCAGGCTCCTGAAGCAGAAAGATTGTGAGACAAAGCCCTGACCCTCAGTCAGCTCACATATAAAAAGGTCTGTGAACAGCTAAGAGTAATCAATAAGGTCTGGCTACCTGGTAATGTGTGGACACAGGAATAGGGGCTTCTTCCATCCAAAGCTCTATCAAGCCTCTGGGATCAAGGACCCAGAAGGATATTATTATAAAGTAGTAATGTAGTTTATACTGATACATGTGTGCATTTATAGAATTATGGTTACACTTTACTGGTATGAAAGGGGTTGCTGCTAATATATCTCCATTATGTAGACAGTATTTACTGGGTTGCTGTTTTAGTCCAGCCTGTGACTCACAGGATTATATCTCTCACAAAAGAAAAAGGGATAATCATAATAATATAATTTATAGTACTTAAAATCATTATGACATTTGGAATGTGTTCTATCGATAAAACAGTAGGATTTCTGTTTTATATTTTGCAGTGGAATGTTAGCCTTGCTGACAGTGTCCAGAAGTATTCCATCACCATGATTTTGTAAGACATATGGCAAGCATCTGAATCACAATTTACAAGAAAATCCCAAGTTTACTCTATGCAAATTTTTCATAGACAATGTAAAAAATATAAATAAAGATTAGATAATGATGTTCAGCAGTGATTTACCAGCAGGCCTTGACTGTAAGTAAAAATTAGGCCGATTACATAAATCACGCAACCCACACTCTACCAGGCCTGAACTGCTGGCCAATCAGTGCCATTTTGAAGCCCAAGTTTAAGATGTATTTAAGTTTCAATTATTCTATGCCTATGCATAAAACTGAACTGAAAAATAGTAAGATGCCCTCCAAATAAAACCTGGCCATCAAATACTTTCATAGAGGCTAGTCTTTCTAGAAAATTCTAGAATTCCTGAACTGGCAGGCAGGGCAACCAGGTCAGCCATCATTACTTTACATGAGGTTTACTTTCATAATCTAAAATCATATTGGTACATGTTCAGCCTTAATATATACTGTACTTTTTATTGATGTTGTCGGGACATTAAATTGAAAGCTCCAGTGAGCACCAATTAGGTTGGCTAAAAGCCAACTGTACACCTTTGCCAAAAATGTTGTTTTAAAGGGAGAAGTCCAAGCTAATGTAAAAAGAACTGTTAGGAATGCCATACATTATGCAATTTTCTTTTCTTTGATCAAGGTTTGACAGAAAGAAAATTCCTCAAGTTCCCCATCAACACAGTCAGTGTTAATGAGGGAATCCCTCCAGCAGCGCTATTGTGTTCTGCCAGTGGGGAGCCTTCCTCACCAGTAGAACACAATGATCACTGCTATAGCCACCAGCAGTGATCAGAAGAAAAAAAAACTGACAGACTGGTTGTATTGAAGTCAATGGATAGATCAACTTCAGTACAAACAGCCTGTCCATAGACAGATTGAAATCAGTATGGTTCCTAAAAAAATATATATATATTTTAAAATGCTGCCTGAAATCTCCCTTTATATTGTCCTTCCCCAGGTGTCTGCAAAACAAGGAATTTTCCTTATAACTAAAACTGAACTGAAAAAGAGTAAGATTCCCTCAAAATTAAACCTAGGCAGCTAACAAAGTATTTAAAAAAAACAAAGTATAACCTTAGTAAGGGTCTTAGTAGAAGGTTCTTAGTAGAAGGGTCTTAGTAGAAGTTTCTTAGTCAAAGGGTCTTACTACAGTGGCTTAGTGGTTAGCACTTCCACCTGGCAGTACTAGGGTCGTTAGTTCAAATCCCAACCATGGCACCACCTGCCTGGAGTTTGCATGTTCTCCCTGTGCCTGCATGGGTTTCCTCCAGGTACTCTGCTTTCCTCCCACACTCCAAAGACATGCAGGTAGGTTAATTGGATCCTGTCTAAATTGTCCCTAGTATGTGTATGTATGAATGTGAGTTAGGGACCTTAGATTGTACACCCCTTGAGGGTTAGGGACTGATGTGAATGTAAAATATATACCGTATAAGACGACTGGGCGTATAAGACGACCCCCCTACTTTTCCTGCTAAAATGTAGTGTTTGGGCTATACTCGCCGTATAAGACTACCCCTCTTCCAATGCACACCAGTGGGAGGAATAGTGCCCCATCATTGATGTCAGTGGGAGGAATAGTGCCCCATCATTGGTATTAGTGGCAGGAATAGTGCCCTATCATTGGTATCAGTGGAGGAATAGTGCTCCATCATTGGTGTCAGTGGGAGGAACAGTGCCCCATCATTGGTGTCAGTGGAGGAATAGTGCCCCATCATTGGTATCAGTGGCAGGAATAGTGCCCCATCATTGGTATCAGTGGCAGGAATGGTGCCCCATCATTGGTATCAGGGGCAGGAATGGTGCCCCATCATTGGTATCAGTGGCAGGAATAGTGCCCCATCATTGGTGTCAGTGGGAGGAATAGTGCCCCATCATTGATGTCAGTGGGAGGAATGGTGTCCCCATCATTAGTGTCAGTGAGGGGTGGAATAGTGCCCCATCATTGGTGTCAGTGGGGGGTGGAATAGTGCCCCATCGTTGGTGTCAGTGGGGGGGGGGGAATAGTGCCCCATCATTGGTGTCAGTGGGGGGGAGGAATAGTGCCCCATCGTTGGTGTCAGTGGGAGGAATAGTGCCCCATCATTGGTATCAGTGACACCAATGATGGGGCACTATTCCTCCCACTGAGACTTGCTGACCCTGTTCTCGTATGGTGCTGCTGCAGCCAGCATATGTGGTTGCAGCAGCACCTCTACACAGAACACTTACCTGCTGCTCCGGCACTCAATTTTCACGGGGCCGCTCGGCTCCGCCCCCTTGCCGGTGATTGGCCGCCTGTGTGCCTTTCCTGAGCTACAGTTCTGGCGGCCAATCACCGGTGAGGAGGCGGAGCCGAGCAGCCGCACGAACATCCAGTGGCCGAACTGAAGGAGACGCCGCGCTTCCTGGACCGGATCGTCGTGGGACTGGATCCAGGTAAGAGACATCAGCCCCTGCAAACCCCTGTACTTAATGCCGCAGCCCCCCTAAACATGTGTACCGGCGTATAAGACGACCCCGACTTTTGAGAAGATTTTCAAGGGTCAAAAAGTCGTCTTATACGCCGGCAAATACGGTATGTAAAGCACTGCGTAAATTGACAGCGCTATATAAGTACCTTAAATAAAAAATAAATAAATGTTTTCACTGCAAGCTGTTGACCTCTAGTGACATCTCAAAATAGATCCTTTAAAGCTTGCAAATTTGAACAGTATGCACATATGCACATTTACTAAAGCTCTATCACTTTTTAACTTTATACAGTAGCATATTCCTGTTTACGTACCTGCTTCCCTTTGCCTCCTGTACCCAGTCAAATATAGATTTTAAAATCATTTTATGGCCTTGTTTTATTTTTTATTAACTGATCCCTTAAATAGGACATATCTTGCATTCATAGTAGCTCATTCACCTCTACATGTATCTGGAACAGTCAAGCCAGTAAGCAAGAAACACCAGTTATTGGGAATTCTCCTTCCCGTGAACAATTCCCAATGGATAGTCTACCTGGAAGAAACTGGTGGGATGTAAAGATTGCTCTCATGATCTGAACAAATTATATGTTTTAACTTCTCATCTGTTGGTAGCGTAGAACCTTTATATCCTATTACTTTAAAGAGAGTTACTGATGCCAATAACTGGATGTTCTATTGTCTGCCATTGCTGTTAGCTGGTGAATGTTGGTCTGTGATGTAAAAACCATAGTGCTACAACAATTTCTATTTATTTTAAATAAGGAAAGCACGTAAACGCCATAATCCCACCAGTAAATTACAAATCTATCTATTAAATAAATCATTTTTTCTGACTTAACCTGGATATGCTTGTGTTTCTTTCCCAGTGACAGTGCCTGTCAGAATTTTTTTAGATTGAAGCTGGCGTGCAGTGGGCTGAGATAAGCAGCAGCTCTAAACCCCTCCGGCAAGAGGGAGATGGGGAGACTTACAAGTGGTGCTGAGGAAAGGAGGAGTAATGTGGACTTCTCCTTTTTTTCTTTTTTTTTTTTTCAAGATCACTATCTTTTTAGCAGTTTAACTGCACACAACTTCTCGCTTTAGATAACCATACAAATGATAGGGTGTTCAGAACGTAAACTATACAAAAGATATTTTTCCACTCACTCTCACACACAGTACACACATGCTTTTAAATGTATGGGATAATCAATAATGCAGTACAAAAAGCAACACTTTTGTGTGAAATGCAGAAACTCAAAAAGACTAATTAGATTATAGTTTACTGAGGCTAGACTGATGAAATATTCATTTTCATTGGGTGCACATTGCTGTATCACTTATTGAATAGGCATGCATTGAGTTTGGAAACTCAATGCTGTTCTTAAAGACATTTTTGAAGTTTGTTTTGGCTGAGTGGCTGAGTTTCTGGGAACAATACAACCTCTAGCAGTACAGTGGTAGGTCGTTCCTTTTCTGAAAGTACGTGTGCACATACTGTCCAGAAACACTGAATGCACATAAGCATCTTTTATGAAGCAAATAATTTCAGCCATATAACATATTAGGCTGGGTCATTTTCTGAAACTAGTATTTCAAAGCATTTTTGTATATTTTCACTGACTTTTGAAACTCTTTTTTCTTTTTCTGAGACTCATGAACCACACTTCCTGTTGGTTTTATCAGATTCAGTCAGCAGAGACACGAAAGCAAAACAAATTTCACTACGCCATAGAGCATTTAACATGACTGACTTTCACAAAACTGAAAGTCAAAAGACTTTACAATAATTCTGTTGTAAATCATGCGGCCCCCCAAAAAATATATGTATATAGCTCATACTGGGTACTAGCAAAGCAGGTATTTGTCACTTAACTATAAATATAGGGGGGTTCTTGGGGTGCAAAACTGTGCACATAAATGTGTGTATCGTGCACTTTTAGGCTCATCCATTGAAGTCTACGGGGTCAAAAATTCCTACATTTTTTGGGAGTAGAGTGTAAGGTGACAAGTGTGAACAGGGTCAATTAGATAGAATGGGATTCATGTTGAGCATAGTCAGGAATAGAGAAATGAACTGAAAAATGTTTTAAAAAAGATTGAACAATACACTGTAGGGACACTTTAGGATTTCTTTTTAAAAAATGCATTACCTTACAATGCACCACCTAGGCCATGATATCATTAACCCTTTAACTCCCCAGACCCCTCCTTTGCATTAAACGAGCTATGTCAATAGGAACATTAAAGAATAAGTTCACGATTAAAAAAAAAATATAAATGCCCATTGTAAAAAAAGTATGCATTTACTATTTTTTTTTTCCAAACCTGGAAAGCATTTCACCAGCGATCAGCAGATCGCTGGGCTATTGTGGACTCTTGCAAATTGTCAGTGTATCTGCTTGCCCCTACATCCCATACAGGCAAGCAGATACAGTCGGACAGGAAGACTCAATGAACTACCACAGCGCTCAATGACGCCATTTTAGTTCATTGAGGACTAAACGCCGACAGCTGCAAAGGCTGTCGGGACTTGAAGTTCATTCATTCACAGAACTCTTTGAATGAATAATGCGGCCGTGTGGGGGGGAGCCCCGCATGGCAGTGCTGTTTTCAAAAGCTGACAGCTAGTACGGGGATCTTAAAGGGGGGTATCAAGAGGCTGCAGCAGCCGTGGAAACATGTTACATGTTCTACCCTAAAAACAGGTGGAATGTGTAACATGTTCTCAAAGGTGAACTTATCCTTTAAGGAAATATAAAGGAGATGTTATTCCAATTTGGCTGCAAAGGTGGGAAATACACTATTCATGAGATGAGGGCCATTTCTATACAATATAAATTAGAGGGCAAGGATCAATTCTGTAGGTAATTACTTTTAGCCTGCTATATTAACACTAATAGATATGTTCATTCTAGTTAGTTTGTACAGGCAATGTTTTCAGGGCTCATACACACTATTGTGTTGTGATAACGCAAGCATTAAAGTGCTTCAAAGCACCTTACATGTATTGATGTGCTGCAGTGCTAGTCATTGGGAATGACACCCCAACATACCTCCAAATGCATGTGTGCTGTAACATAACTGCACAGCACAAAGCACGGTGTCCTGTGTATTGTGCCGCAATAAAATGCAGCCTGCCCCATTTTTGCATGTGTTGATACCATTTTATTCGGGCTGTTTAAGTTACCATAATGCGTATCAATGCACAATGTGTGTGTTGCAGCACACAGGGTTGCAGGTGAATGGGCTCTTACATACTAATACATTAGACAAGATATTAGATTATACATTTACTTATCTAAATCATATTTTGCAGTAATTCCTAATTTAGTGTGCATTTCTTGTATTTTTTTTGCTGCATCTGCACTTTTTTGAATGGCCACACACTATCCTTTTTAACTTCAAAACACATTTCTCTTTTAGGATCTCTTTCTGGGTGACAAGCTACTTCTGTAGCAAGCAGCAATTATAGTGTAGCAGGCCGTATGATAATGCTGGCTATGGGTTTCACCACTGGTTTCATTGCCTAATTAGATCTATGCATGTGCGTAGAGATGAGTTTTTTATAGCTTTAGGCAGGTGTATTTTCATATCAACATGCATTTCAGTTGTGCATTGACAAACGTTATTGACATGCGTTTATAATGCATTTTTAAAGTTAGGATCGGGAGTGGATGGCGCGAAAAGAATTTTAATAGCTGTAACCTGTTGTAACCATCAGGTAGTCATAGACAGAAGCATGGTATCAATTCAATAGGCATATATTATATTTGGCTGTATGAAATACATAGAGTCACCTGGAAGACTAATTTTTACATTACTGAAAGACTAAAAACATGTACAGTAACCCCTGTATTACACCAAAGTGTTCATTAAAATCATCAAGAACAGCTTGCAAGAGAAAAATTAACCAAGGAAATTCAAATGTTAGCAGGTCAATATGCTAATAATAATAACACATCATATGTGACTAGTTGGGACGAATTACTTGCAATATATGAACCAAGTCCCATTGTATATATAGCTAGGATAGGCAATTACATAATCTATAACTGACAAAGTAAAAGCAGCAGATACATATCTGGTCAAGAAAATGGTTTTAACAAGGAAACAGTACATTCCAGTTGCATACAGTGAAACCAGTGTCGCTAGTATCCCTATTCATTAATTACAACAGCAAAAATGGCATTTGTAAGAAACAAATAGCAGTATAAAAGAAACGTACCTTTCCAACTGTCACCGGCCCTGAATTTAAAACAGGTTCTACCCTATAGCGTGCAGTTTCCTCTCTCTACAAGTTCCTCTTTTAGAGATAGAAACACTTTCAAGCTTTTCTAATACGATTTGTCAGTTTCTGCCCAATTAGTTGGATTTCCAACCACAGCCACTGTGTCTACTAATTAAAAAAAATGGCACTGCTCTCTGCAAAGTACAGGACTGCAGGAAGACTCTAAATAGCACAGCAGTGAGAAATGATGAAATGAGCAGATCCGGTTGAATGAAATGAGATGTGGTTTTGAAATCGCCTTGCACAACGGATGTCCTTTGTTAAACTTTTTTTTCTTTGTCTTCTTGGTTACTGTTATCTTCTAC